TTATGGGGGGCGGGGCGGGGGGGGGACGTCTTAGTAAGATTCAGGGCGCATGCCAAAGCCAGTTGTTTATTTTATAATGCTCCGGGTAGCCCTTTTGGTGTAACCCGAGAGGAAAGGGTGTTTGCTGAGATGATCTTGGAGAGGTGAAAAATGTTCATTTTGATTGGGGAGGCCCGAAGCGGTATTTAAGATCTGTGCCCTGACATTCCTCCGCTGCTCCGTCTCAAGGCCCTTGGGAGTACAGTTGCTAGCAAAATAGAAATGCCTGGAATCAGTTTCTTTTTGCATAAGGTACTTAAAAAAGAAATCTCAGCCTCTCAGAGCCGTTTCTGGGGTGATGAAGGGAATTGGGAAGAGGAGCGTGTCTCGGAAAATCCACAAAGAAAAGCGCTTTGGAAATTCATGCGATGCCAGTGGGATGCGTTTCTCTCTTGCGCGTGGTGGTAAAATGGCAGTTAAACTGGAAACAATGCAGGACAGTGACATTCAGCATGTTATAGTCCCGCATGCAGCAGTGGGCAGTGGGGAAAACAGTGCATCGTGTTGAAATGGGGGGAAAGGAACTTGACCCGTTAGTTGTGAAAAGAAGCTGTGATGAAAGACACCGATGGATGGGCAGAAGTGCCTGTCCAGAGATATTTAGGGGGAAGTGGGAATTTAAATTACTGCCTGGGGGTGGGGAGGGACATTAATGGTGCTGTTGAGGGATGGTGTGTGTTCCCTTTCAGCAAAACAGAAGGAAGTGGATTTGGAAATGTGTAGTTTGTGTCCTAGCATGTGTTGTAAAAATCCCCCAAACAGATGTATTATAATAGGAGTCCTAAGCAGGGCCATGCTGTAAATTATGTACTGTTTTGGAATACAGACTTGAGTCACGTAAAATTATTGGTGGTGTTTACTGTTCCAAAGGCTTTATTGTCTTCATTATTATATCATACTGGAGGCCCTGTGCACGAATTTTGTCCGGGGGGTGGGAGGGTGGGGGGGAGTGTGTCCCTCAGCCCGGCCTGTGCCTCTCACAGTCCGGACCCTTTGGGGGATGACCGCCACTGCCGCTGTGTTAGCCAGCCCACAGCCATGAGCCTGGCTTCTGGCCAGGAGCACTTCCCCTGTGGGAGCGCAGTGACCACCAGGGAGCAGCTCCTGCGTTGAGTGTCTGCCCCGTGGCGGTCAGTGAGCATCATAGCAACTGGTTGTTCTGCTGCTGTTTGGTCAATTTGCATATTAGGGTTTTATTATATAGGAGGATTGTGGGAAATCACATGGGATCACAAGCTGTTAACTGGATGGGAAACTAATTAGCATAATAACATATCTCACGACACTACTATGGTTAAGTCTGTGGGCATCCCAATTATAAGTGGAAGGGTGTATAATTTAGTTGTATGAATGATGCAAGACTTTGTTTTAAAATGTCATACGAGAAATTGAAAATGTGACCATTTTGGATACATTGGAAATCCTTTATAGATCATAAGCAAACAAAGATTTGATTTTCTGTTAAAGTTTTGTTATTTACTGACAGTAGCATTAATGTTAATAGATTTGACTGATCATGGAGTTTCCTCTACTGAATTTCTTTTTCTTTTTTAAAATCTTTTGTTGTTGTTCTACTGACTTTCTTTTTCAATATTGGTTAGTGAGCAGAAGATTAATGCAGATCTTTACAGATTCAGTGGATGTTGCACCTAACACCTAGGAAGAACAAGAAGATGAATGAAATGAGCCCATTTTAGACTTGTGCAGTTCACTTAAACAAGCATATATTAAGAGCCTACTATGGGTGCAGCACTCTGTAATGTGGGATCAACATCCCTTCCTGCCCCAAAAATATGAGTAGTTTTTGATAGGATCCCTTAATTGGGAGAGATTTCAGACAAGAAATTATCTCTAGGGTTCTGCTCAACTTTCAGGTTATACAATTGTGTTGGATGGGAAGAATTTGTTAGTTCCAGGAGAACTTTTATATTCTCAATAGAAGTACTAGAAACTGGAAGTGTTAGCTGCCACATTATGGGAATTTGAAATTCCAATTCAATAAAACATTCAACCCATTTTTATCTTAATATAGTTTAAATATATATTTTTATTGATTTCTGAGAGGAAGGGAGAGGGAGAGAGATGGAAACATCAGTGATGAGAGAGAATCATTGATCAGCTGCCTCCTGCACATCCCCTGCTGGGAATTGAGCCTGCAACCCAGTATGTGCCCTGACCAGGAATTGAACCTGGGACCCTTCAAGTCCCCAGGCTGATGCTCAACCACTGAGCCAAACCGGCTAGGGCCATTTTTATTTTTTAATGAACACTAATGATTTTAATCAAGATAGAATAGTTTAGCCCTGGCCAGGTAGCTCAATTCGTTAGAGTGTAGTTCCAATAGACCAAGGTTTTTCAGGATTCATCTCTGGTCAGGGTATATAGAAGGGTTAACCAATGAATGCAGCATAAATGGGTGGAACAATGAATCCATGTCTCTTCCTCTCTCTTTCAAATCAATCAATAAAAAAATAAGATTAATTTACAGAATATTATTAGCATTAATTCAGTAGTAGTATAAGTATAAATAGGGAAAAAAAAGGATAAATAGGGCCCTGATTTAATTTAATTAACCAGTATCAGGAAATATACATACAGTGTAATGAAAAAGAGATGAAAAATATTCGCAAATAATAGACCATGAATCAAACCTTCTAACATTCTGTTTTATCCGCCCTAGAAAATTTATTTATAGGTCTACTGAAATACTGATTCAGTATTTCAGGATGTGTGAACATATTCAGCAAGTTTGTTAAGTGTCAGGTTCTGTGATACAGTTATGAAGGCCACAGACGTGCAGGGAGCTTAGAGTCTAGTGGGAGAGATGGAAGAGCAGATAGACCCAACAACATGATGAAAACGAATTTCCTTTCCTTCAAACCTAAACAAGAAATCCAAAGCAGGAAAATTTCCCCACTTACAAATTTTACTAATTGTGATTGACATTTTGATAAATTAAAATCTTTAAGTTTGGGGTGTTCATGATAAGTAACTTTTATTACAATACTTTGAATCTGATGTACAGTGAACATTTTCTTACCCAGTCTATGCTTTAACCAGCTTGGTGCACTGAACACTCACTGTTACTGTGTGAATTATGGGTCTGATATATCTTGACCTTGTGGCCTCCCAACTAATCTGTGTTTACAAAGAATCAGTTATGGGTTTGTTCTTAATCTTTATTGTTGAAAGTATTACATATGTCCCCCTTTTCCCCCCATTGACCCCCTCCAGCCTGTCCCCGCCTCCCTGTGTGTTGCTTTTTTGTTATTAATCCTCACCAGAGGATATTTTTTCCAGTGATTTTTAGAGAGTGTGGGAGGGAGAGTGAGAGGGAGGAGGGGGAGAGAGAGAGAGAGAGAAAGAGAGAGAGAGAAATACATTGAGGTAAGAGAGACACATCGATGGGTTGCCTCTCACATGCATCCAATCAGGGCCTGGGAATGAACCTGCGACCCAGGTGTGTTCCCTTAACCTGGAATTAACCCGTGATCCTTAGGTCCATGGGCTGACACTCCAACCACTAAGCAACACTGGCCAGGGCAGGAGACAGTTGTATAGTATATTTCCGTATCTGTTCATGTTCATGGTACTTGTTATTGTAATTATCTAGTGTAATTAAATTTGACATAAGCCAGTGAAATTTGAATTAAAGGATGGTTTTGTGAGCTTTTCAAATGCTTTGGAATGATTAGATAATTTCAAGTCACTAAGAGAAATTACTGCTCAATTATATGGATAAACAAACTGAAAAAGATGGGGAGGGAGTCATCTAGAAGGACTCTGCATAATCACTTCATGACTGTTTTCAGGTTTTTGTTTATATATTGAAAACATAGGTCATGCACAATGGATGTGGAATATGAAAGACAGACAACTTGTAATTCAACAGTACACCCACACTCAAGATAAAATCTTGGACCTACAAACAAAGGTTGGCAAATAAATACGCATTTATATAATATATGTTTTAATCCTCACCAAGGATATGTTTTTTAAATTGATTTAGAGAGAGAGGAAAGGAGAGAGAGAAACATCAGTGTGAGAGAGATAGTTGCTTCCTGTACACGCCCCAACCAGGGATCGAGCTGGCAACCCTGACATGTGCTATGACTGGGAATTAAACCTGCAACCTTTCGGTGCACAGGACGATGCCCGCCAACTGAGCCACACAGGCCAGGGCCACATTTATATTTTTAACCTGCCATATCTTCTAATTAATATTTTATCACAAAAATATAGAAGACAGACTTCTTAAGTAAGAATTTATTGCACTTGATTAGGTAATATGACAGTTCATTTTTGTCAAATTATTCAACTTTGGCCTCCCTAAAGCACTTCTTTCCATTTTTGGAGCTTTTGTGATGGCAGGAAGTGAGAGACATTGGGGGTGGGCTTGCCTATACTCCCAGAATGGAGTGGGAGAGTATAACATAGGCATTTTAGTTAGTTGAAATATCTAGCAAGTGAAATACTCACTTAGACAGGTCAATGATATAGACTATATGCCAGATGACATCACAGTGCCTGAGAAAGTTAAAACTGGTCCTAAAGGATCTGTTTCTACTTTAACGGGTTGGGGGGAACGAGTACTGATAGGATCATCTCAGATTTTCCTGTGCATTAAAATAAAAAGAAAGGACAAAAGTATCCTTAAGGGTGTTTGGTTTGTTGAGCTATTTCGTCAGGAACCCTGCATCTCTTGGCAAGGGGCTTTGCATCTCATTCTCTCAGATCCTTGAGCTCACTAGGTTGGATGGGAAGATGATTGACATTGAAGCGCCTTAGTGGGCAGAGCCTCTAGTGGCCTGAGTGTCAGTACAAATGCTACAGAGAAGCAGGTGGAGGTACTCACTGCGGGCCACACCTTCCCCAGGCTCTGGAGAAGGGAGTAGTCAGACACCGATGGCAGTCTCAGAGGCAGTAACCATGACGAAGGGCTTCTAGAAGATCCCGGGCTGGTTGGGTAGTCTTTCTGTAGTGTACCTGGGATCTGGGTGCATTGAACCAGCCATCTGACTGGACATTTCTGCTCCTCATTTCTTTTTTTTAAAAACACGTATTCTTTTCTTCTTTTTCTTTTTTTTAATTTCAGAGAGGAAGGGAGAGGGAGGGAGAGATATAAACATCAGTGATGAGAGAGAATCATTGTTTGGCTGCCTCCTGTGCACCCCTTACTGGGGATGGAGCCCGCAACCTGGACATGTGCCCTGACCGAGAATCGAACCGTGACCTCCTGGTTCATAGGCTTACACACAACCACTGCGTGACACTGGCCAGGCTCTTCATTTCTTTATTTTCTTGAAAATTTTTTATTTATTTAACTTTTTTCTTTGCTGCTCATTTTAATCTTTCCTGGAGGCTTTTTTTTTCTTTAATGTGTGTGTGCTTTCCCTTGTTCCATCTAATAATACTGGTTAGTCACTTAAACATTTCTTCCATTACCTTCCATTCTACCTTCTTCCTGAGATGTGAATCCTGGTCCGAAATCATACTGCAGGGTCCATTCTTCTTTTCTACACCCTAATCTTACTTGCTTTTGGGTGATTCTCATTTCTTAATAAACATAGTGTTGTGCATCTACATGTGTGAAACAGTCTATATTTTTCTTCATAGCCTAATACAAAAAGGAAGAGCCCTATTCAAGAATGCCTTACCCTAACCGGTTTGGCTCAATGAATAGAGCATCGGCCTGCGGACTCAGGGGTCCCGGGTTTGATTCCAGCCAAGGGCATGTACCTTGGTTGTGGGCACATACCCAGTAGGGAGTGTGCAGGAGACAGCTGATCGATGTTTCTCTCTCAATGTTTCTAACTCTCTATCCCTCTCCCTTCCTCTCTGTAAAAAAAATCAATAAAATATATATATATTAAAAAAAATGCCTTTGTTTATTCGTTCCTTCAGCACACTTTTTTGGAGAGCCCTAGTATTGACTAGTCTCTGTGTGAGATCCTGGTAATACACAGATTAATAAGTCTGTGGTTCCTCATAAAGTCAACCCCTCTGCCTGCTCTGCACTGTGCCTTCCCTTCCTGCCTGCCTAGTGACCTCAGTACTACATCTCTCCTGCTTCCTCGCCTGTCCTTCTGTGTACCGTCATTCCCAGGCAAACAGGCTTTAATATTTAACATCTTTAAAAAAATGCTCCCTTGGTCCCAGATTCCCTCTAGCTACCATCCCTTTTTTCTCTTTCCTTTCATAGCAGAACTTTTCTGTTCTTGGTTGTCTCCTGTTCCTCTTCTCATTTTCTCTTGAACTCATTCAGTTAGGCACTTTTTCTCTGATTCTGCTGAAGCCATTATTCAGGGTAATCTACCAGTTACTAAACCCAGGGCCTATTCTCAGTCCTTATGTTCCCTGGTAATTCTTTTCTTCTTGAAGCACTTTGTTCATCTTGGTTCTAGAGCATCTCTCTAGTTCTTCCCTCTCTTTCTGATTGCTCTTCCTTATTATTGCTGTATTCCTCATTTTCCTGACTTCTTTTCATTGCAGTGCACAAGGATATAATCTTTGACCCCCGCTACACACACCCATACAGTAGGTGATCTCTTCAATTCCATCTTAAATGCCCTGTTTATACTGATTACTTTTTTTGAAAATATATTTTTATTAATTTTTTACAGAGAGGAAGGGGGAGGGATAGAGAGTCAGAAACACCGATGAGAGAGAAACATTGATCAGCTGCCTCCTGCACACCCGCTACTGGGGATGTGCCCACAACCAAGGTACATGCCCTTGACTGGAATCGAACCTGGGACTCTTCAGTCTGCAGGCTGACGCTCTACCCACTGAGCCAAACCGGTTAGGGCTATACTGATTACTTTTATGTATCTATTAGAAGCCCAGTGCACAAAATTTTTGCACTCAGCGGTGCGGGAGGATGGGGGGGGTGTTCCCCAACCTGGCCTGTGCCCTCTCACAATGTAGGAGCCCTGCGATCAGATTGATCTTCCCAAAGAGGTAGGACCTGCCCACCCATCCTGGGCTCCTCGATGGATTGCCCCAAAGAGGTAGGCTGGAGCCGCAGGACTCGCCTCCTCCACATTACGTGGAGGTGCTGGGACCTGGCGGAGCAATCGCCGGGACCCACGGCATCAAGTTTCCGCCCACCTGCGCGCATCTCGCTGTTCACGCAGCCCTGCCCACCCGTGTGTGCCTGCTGTGCACGCAGCCTCCTGGTGATGGATTGTGATGGCATGAGGGCATCACGATGTGAGGGCGTGACAACCACATAGGCTTTTATTAGTATAGACTAGAGGCCCGGTGCACAAAATTTGTGCACTTGGAGGGGTCCCTCAGCCCGGCCTATGCCCTCTCCCAGTCTGGGACCCCTCGGGGGATGACCACCTGCTGGCTTAGGCCCGCTTCCTGGGGGGATTGGGCCTAAGCTGGCAGTCAGACATCCCTCTGGCATCCCAGGAGCCCTTGGGCAATGTCCACTTGCCAGCGGGGAGCAGGCCTAAGCGGCAGTCGGACATCCTTAGTGCTGCTGAGGAGGCAGGAGAGGCTCCCACCCCCACCGCTGTACTGGCAGCCGTCAGCCTGGCTTGTGGCTGAGCAGAGCGTCCCTTGTGGGAGTGCACTGCCCACTAGGGGGCAGCTCCTGCATTGAGCATCTGCCCCCTGGTGGTCAGTGTGTGTCATAGTGACCAGTCATTCCCAGTCGTTCTGCTGTTAGGGTCAATTTGCATATTACCCTTTTATTGTATAGGATAGGAGTGCCTGACCAGCCTGGGTGAGGGGCTGATGGCTGTTTGTAGGCTGGCCAAGCCCCCCCAGCAGGGACCCTCCTCCCATGAGGGTTTGGCCATCCTGGGTGAGGGGCTGATGGCTATTTGCAGGCTGGCCACAGCCACCAGCCACCCAAGCTCCCAGTGGAGGCTGGCTGGAAGCAGGTATCTGGGATTTATTTGTCTTCTATAATTGAAACTCTGTTGCCATGAGCGGAGGCAACATCCAGCTCAGGGCAGGCGGGAAACTTGGCTTCCTCCATCACCCAGGCAACCAAGGCTCCTGCTTGCTCCAGCTCTGTGGCTGCTGGCCACCATCTTGGTTGGGTTAATTTGCATATAATCGCTCTGATTGGCTGGTGGGCATAGCGAAAGTATGGGCAACTAGCATCTTTGTCTTTTATTAGTGTAGATTTTTAGCCCTGACTTCTCTCCTGAAATCAAAGACTTGAATATCCTGCAATCTCTACTTAATATTTCCATCTGGATATCTGAGAGGCATCTCAAACTTAAAATGTCCAAACCGAATTCTTGTTTCCATTTTCCAAAAAACAAGCAACAGAGGCCCACTTCTCCCACAGTTATCCCTCTTTCAGTAAATGAAATCTCTGTGCTATCAGTTGCTAAGGTTAGAAACCTTGGAGTCATCCTTCACTTCCTTTCTCATGTCCACATCTTATCTGACAGCAAGTCCTGAATAACCTTATCTCTGAACCTCCACTGTGTTATTCTAGCCTAACCCATTGCTCCCTCTCTCCTGGACTATTGCTGTCTCTTCCTAATGGGTCTCCCTGCTTCTGCCTGTACTCCTCTGGTCGTCTCTATCACAGCTGCTAGAGTGATTCTTCAGGCATGGAAGTCAGATCATGTCACTCTGCTCCAGTGATGTTCTGTCTCAATAAATCCGAAGTCTTCACCGTGATCTCATGCTCTGGATGATCTGATACCCTGCCATGGCTCTGACCTCATCTCTTCTCCCTCTCCCTCTTACTTGTCTCTCTCTTCCAGTCACACTGACTCTGTGCGGTCTCTCCCCCCCTCCCTCCATTACCTGCATAGATCATCCCTTCACTTTAGGTCTTTGCTTACTTTTTACCTTATCAGACAGGTCTTTAATGATCAGCCTATGTAAAATAATAGCAGTCCTTTGTCATTGCGTGTCTCCTGCCTTTTTCCTTGGCAGCTTGTATCAACACCAGACATATTATGTCAGTGATGGCGAACCTTTTGAGCTCGGCATGTCAGCATTTTGAAAAACCCTAACTTAACTCTGGTGCCGTGTCACATATAGAAATTTTTTGATATTTGCTACCATAGTAAAACAAAGACTTATATTTTTGATATTTATTTTATATATTTAAATGCCATTTAACAAAGAAAAATCAACCAAAAAAATGAGTTTGCATGTCACCTCTGACACGCGTGTCATAGGTTCGCCATCACTGTATTATGTATTCATTTGCTTGTTGTCTGTTTCCTCTCACTAGAATGCAGGCTAATCCATGAGGATAGGAAGTTTTGTCTGTTTTATTCACTCCTGTCTCATCAGTGCTTAGACCTTAGTAGATGGTCAGTATTATTTGTTGACTGTGTGAATGACTGAATGAATACATAGTCTCTGCTTTTTTTGTTGTTGTTGGTAATCCTCACCCAAAGACATTTTTCTATTGATTTTTAGGGAGAGTGGAAGAGAGAGGGAAAAACAGAGAGGAATATCAGTGTGAGAGAAACACATCGATTGGTTGCCTCATGCACACGGCCTGACCAGGGCCCAGGCTGGGGAGGAGCCTGCAGCCAAGGTACGTGCCCTTGTCTGGAATCGAACCTGGGACCTTCGGATTCACAGGCCGACGCTCTATCCACTGAGCCAAACCGGCTAGGGCTCCCTGCTTTATTTTTAAAAAAAGTTTTTATTGATTCTTTTGGATATACCCATAAATGGAATTGCTGGATCATGTGGTAGTTCTGTTTATAATTTTTTATGTTAATTTTTCCCATACTGTTTTCCAAAGTGGCTGCACCAGTTTACATTCCCACATGCAGCGCACAGGTGTTCCCTTTTCTCCCATCCAACAGTTATCTCTTGTCTTTTTTAAGGACAGCCATTCTAATAGGCCTGAGTTGATCTCTCTTTGCGTTTTTGTTTTTTTAAACAGACTTAATTCACTGTACTTTTTTAAAAAATATATTTTATTGATTTTTTTTACAGAGAGGAAGGGAAAGGGATAGAGAGAGTCAGGAACATCGATGAGAGAGAAACATCAATCAGCTGCCTCCTGCACACTCCCCACTAGGGATGTGCCCGCAACCAAGGTACATGCCCTTGACCGGAATCGAACCTGGGACTCTTGAGTTCACAGGCTGACTCTCTATCCACTGAGCCAAACCGGTCAGGGCAATTCACTGTACTTTTCTTGTATAAAATTACGTGTTGGCCACATGGAGCCTGGGTCTTCTGCACAGAAACTGGTGTGGGCCTTTACAGATGTCAGTGGTTCCTGATGGGGAGACCTGGTGAACACAGTCTCTTCCCAGAGCTCAGGGGTGAGATAGCTGTAGGTCTTGGAGATGGCATCAAAGGTGGCCTTGGCGAAATTGCCCAGGGTGCCAGTGCAGCCCCTGGCCGAGGGTAGCTGCTGGTGATACTAGCCATCAGCAGCAGATGCTTGGACAAGGGCTGAGATGATGCCAGTGCCCTGGGGGCAGGGCTGAGGCACACCAGCACAGAGCCCAGCAGCCACCACGTGGGGCCTGCTGGCTTCTTCCCCCAGTACCCTTGCCATACAGGGGCAGCAGAGAGCTTGACCAGAATGGTGGTCCCACAGATGGCAGGGGCTACTTCCTTTGGGCACTTAGCATCCAGAACAACATGTCTGTTGTCCCTAATGGCGACAAATGCCTAGAACTGGGTCCTTTGGCCAGCAATGTGTCTGCTTCGCACTAGCATGATCTTTAAAACCTAGTCCTTGAGGGACGCTCCCAAGAAAAAGTCAGTGATCTCAGATTCCTTGATGGGCAGGGAGAAGAGATAGTTCTCCAGGGACTCGATCTCCCTGTCTTAGACCAGCCAGCCCAGCTTGGTGACGGGGATCCACTCCTGTCCTCAGCCTTACCTCTGTAAACTCTACGGCCCCAGCCCTGACCCTAGCTAAGACCTTGGCTCCGGATGCTAGGTGCTGCAGTGGCCTCCCATTCCAGGGCCCCTTGGGCCTCTGGGCCCAACTGCACATTTGTGTGTTTCCTCAGAAAAGAAGCTCATTGCAGTTTTAATTTGCATTTCCCTGATGATCAGTGATACTGAGTACCTTTTCATGTACCTGCTGGCCATTTGTATGTCATCTTTGAAAAAAATGTTTATATAGATCCTCTCCCCACTTTTTAATCAGAATGTTTGCTATTAAGTTGTTTGAGTTATTGATGTATTTTGGATATTACTCCAATCTGATGAATGATTTGTAGATATTTTCTCCCTTATGGTAAGATGCCTTTTCTCCTGGCCAGTATGGCTCAATGGTTGAGCATCGACCTATGAACCAGGAGGTCATGGTTTGATTCCCAGTCGGCACATGCCAGGTTGTGCTCTCGATTCCCAGTGTGAGACATGCATGAGGCAGCCAATCAATGATTCTCTCTCATCATTGATGTTTTTATCTCTCCCTCTTCCTTCTCTGAAATCAATAAAAATGTGTTTAAAAAATAAATTATTAAAAAAAGATGTCTTTTTATTTTGGTAATGGTTTAAAATAGTGTGCAGAAGCTTTTTAGTTTGATGTAGTTTCACTTGTTTATTTTTGCTTTTGTTGCTTTTGCTTTTGTCAAATCCAAAAAAATTCATTGCCAAAACTGTTGTCAAGGAGCTTACCCCCACTGTTTTGTCAAGAAGTTTTATGGTTTCACATCTTATCTTCAAGTCTTTATTTGCCTCCTGCATGCCTCCCTACTGGGGATTGAGCCTACAACCTGGGCATGTGTCCTTGACCGGAATCAAACCTGGGACCCTTCAATCCACAGATCAATGCTCTATCCACTGAGCCAAACCAGCAAGGGCTCAAGTCTTTATTTTAATAGAGTTGATATTTTTGTATGGTGTAAGATAGGTTCCATTTTCATTCTTTTGAATGCGGCTGCCCACTTTTCCCAACACTATATTTGAAGAGACTATCCTTTCCCCATTGTATATTTTTGGCTTTTTTGTTGTAAATTAATTGACCGTAAGTGCATGGGTTTATTTTTGGGTTGCATTCTGTCCCATTCATGTATGTGTATGTTTTGATTCTAGTACTGTTCTGTTTTGATTACTGTAACTTTGTAATATTGTTTGAAATCTGAAAGCATGATGCCTCCATCTTTGTTCCTTTTTCTCAAGATTGCTTTGGCTATTCAGGGTCTTTTGTGGTTCCAAACAAATTTTAGGATTATTTTTTCTATTTCTGTGAAAAATATCATTGGAATTTTGATAGAGATTTGTAGTGAATGTGTAGATTGTTTTTGATAGCATGAACATTTTAACAATATTCTTCCAGTCCATGAGTGTGGAATACTTTCCATTTATTTGTGTCTTTAGTTTCTTTCACCAATGTCATATAGTTTTTAGTGTACAGATCTTTCACCTCCTTAGTTGAATTCATTCCTAGGTATTTTATTCTTTTTGATGCAATTGTAAATGGGATTATTTTCCTAATTTTTCTTTCTAATAGTTCATTGTTAGTGTATAGAAATGCAATTTATTTATGTATATTGACTTTGTATCCTGAAACTTTACTGAATTGGTTTATTCTTTCTTTGGTGGAGTCATCAGGGTTTTTTTTTTATATATGAGACCATGTCATTGGAAAAGAAATTAAATAAATAAAATTTTAGCATCTGAACTGTTTTCCATATTGCCACATTCTTCATAATGAACATTTTTGTGGTTGATAGTAAATTATTTTCCTAATGCAAAATTAGGTTGTTTCCAGTATTTGGTTGCCCAAATCAAATTGTTATGTTTTGTTCTAATAGTGTTTTGTTACTATTAAATTATTTCCTAAGGAAGAAAAACACACACCACAATATCATCTGCAAATACTGATAGTTTTACTTTTCCTTTCTGATTTGGGTTCTTTTTATTTATTTTTTTTGCCTAATTAACTTTCAGTATTATTGTGAATAACAGGAGTGATAGTGAACATCCTTGTTTTATTCCTGATCTTAGAGGAAAAGCTTTCAGTTTTTTAACTTTTGAGTATGGTGTTAGCTTTGGTCTTGTCATATATGGCTTTTATTATGTTGAGGTACATTCTCTCTAGAGCCACATTTTGAGAGTTTTAAATCATGAATGATATTGAATTTTGTCAGATGCTTTTTCTGCATTTTTTGAGAAGATCATATGATTTTATTCTTCATTTTGTTAATATTGTGTGTCATATTAATTGATTTGCAGATATTGAACTATCCTTGCAGGCCTGGAATAGAGCCTACTTGGTTATGTTGTATAAAACGCTCTCAATTAAAACAAAACAAAACTGTGAATGATTAGTCACATAATGATCCTTAATAATAATATTAGATAATGTCTTGTTGCATAAGACACAATAAGGTAAATTATTAACATTTATAAAGGTAAGTGTAAGAGTTCCCATATTTTTGTTTCGTATTTACAGTTTCACCAGGTTTCCTAGGAATAGATGCCTATTTTAGGAATTAGACAGCTTGCTGACATGGTCAGTTTCATCTTTTTTTAAAAAAAATATACTCAGCCGAAACCGGTTTGGCTCAGTGGATAGAGCGTCGGCTTGCGGACTGAGGGGTCCCAGGTTCGATTCCGGTCAGGGGCATGTGCCTGGGTTGCGGGCACATCCCCAGTGGGGGATGTGCAGGAGGCAGCTGATCGATGTCTCTCTCATCGATGTTTCTGGCTCTCTGTCTCTCTCCCTTCCTCTCTGTAAAAAATCAATAAAATATATATTTAAAAAAAATATATATACTCACCCACGGATATTTTCCATTGATTTTTAGAGAGAGTGGAAGGAAGGGCAATAACTTCTCCAGAGGTCTGTCGAGGCGCCAGATGTGAATGACCCACGTCCTGCGTGGTTCAGGCTTTGGGCTCTGGAGAAGGGGCCGCGTGCAAATGACAGAGACGAGACAAGAAATAATAATTTGGAAATTGGGGGGCCAGGCGGGAGCCCATCCCAAGAGGAAGGATTCCACTTGTGCTCAGGCCTTGCCATCCTTTTATTCAGTTTGGGACACACCCATAGCCCTTAGGCAGGCAATTCCAGTAACAGACTATCTTATCAGTAAGGATTTACATGACTGTCTGGTGGGGAAGTTGCTTCGGCTACCATTGTCTGGACTAAAGGGTCACCAGCATTCTGGGTTCCTTGTCCACACCTCTCTGCTAGTAAAGACAATAGGCGGTTTCCCAGAGCAGGGGATGCAGGCATGGATGCAGGTAGGTAGATGGATGTAGATGGATGTTCTTTTTAGATTATTCTATAGTCTCAGCAAAACAAAAACCAAGAGAGAGAGAAAGTGGGGTAATTAAGGATAGTAATATGCAGCATTAGCATAGCTGTAAAATGGCAAAGAAGCCACAAAAGGACAGTCTGGGGTAATGTAATATAACAAGTTAGGCTACTTGTTAGTTTCACATTGGTTATCTCAAGTGAATTCTAAGATTAACCGCTACAGAGCTTCCATTTGTTCCATATTCTCACTGAAAGGGCAAGGGCTATGCCCTCCATCTCACCCCGGATCCTCCATGTTGGGGCAGTCGCCATGTGCTCAGGAAAGTACCTTCTTCCCGGAAGCCGGGATTTCTTTAAACTAACCAATGACAATCAAGGAACATGCGCGCCATAGAGATGACCACATCCTGTGTAACAAGACCTGA